GAGAAGAGAGAGGAGAGAGAAAGGAGAGGGGACTGCAGAGAGAGGCGAGGAGAGAGAAGAGTGCGGAGAGAAGAGAGAAGAGAGAACGGAGAAGAGAGAAGAGAGAAGGGGGGAGAGAGGAGAGGAGGGAAGAGATTGGAGGGAAGAGAGAGAGGCGAGGAGAGAGGAGAGCAGAGCGAGGAGAGAGAAGAGGAGAGCAGAGAAGAGAGAGGAGAGGAGAGAGAGGAGAGGAGAGAGGAGAGAGGATAGAAGAGAGAGGAGAGGAGAGAGGAGAGAGGACAGGAAAGGAGAAGAGAAAGAGGAGAGTAGAGAGGCTAGAAGAGAGAGGAGAGGAGGAAGGAGAGATGAGAGGAGAGAGGACAGAAGAGAGAGGAGAGGACAGAGAGGAGAGAGGAGAGAAGAAAGAGGAGGAGTGAGAAAGGAGAGAGGATGTATAACTGCTACATTCGCTACTGCTACAAACTGTTCTTCTTCCTCTAACAACTACGAAAATCGCTGCCCACAGCAAAGTTATTACTAAGAAATGCCGCATGATGTTGCCAGTTGTTTTCCGACTGCTGTCAGTGATGTTTGGCTGTCTTGTTATTGTTAAACTTATTGTTGTTATACCTCTTCTTCGAATTTTGCAGCCACTAATACCATTATCTTCATTACAGCTTTCATGCTGATGCATGCTTGCTGAGTGGGCCTGGAAGAAGGGCGCTGGCCGCCCTCTCCCCCTTGGAAAGCGCCCAAAGGCCCCTGACAGACCCCTGACCGGCTGCTGGGAGACTCTGTTTTTTGTGGTTTGCCAAATCCTCCTCACCTACTGCGAATAGATAAGTTTTTTTTTCAGTGTTACAAACAATCAAGAATATTAAGATGCAGCATTTGAGTAAGCACAGAAACCTGGCTTTCCTGAGAAAACACACCAGAACGCAACTGAAACCAAAAAAGCGAACCACAAAGAACATGAAGAAGCCCCAATCGAAATTTGGATCTTTTGGCTAATTAATTCGGTGTGCATCAACACTGAGGCGAGGCATCTCCGCCCCGTGGGTCGACGCGCACCATTAGCCGCTTGCTTGCTTGCTTGCTTGCTTGCTTGCTTGCTTGAACATGCGTTACTGGTTGTTTATAAGGGAATATGTCATAAAGGGATTATATGAGGATTATATTCTACATTCCCTATTAACAACCAGTGACGAAACGAAGTGCTTGTGAAGCAAACCCTCCATCGGCATTAAGGCAAGCATGCCTTCTTGTCGGCTACAGCGCAGGCGCAGGGCCGTGTACTCTCGTTCCCAGGCTGCAAGCGCTTCCTCAGTAAAGTTGAGATCTGTTGCATGGCTGTCTGCGACGCATTTGCAAGTGCCGGCATAGCTGAGGCAGCAGAGTGTCGTGCCGGATCTGAGCCTTTTCTTTGTCGGAAAGTATTGTCTTGATGGGCTTCCGCTAAGCTAATACCGTACCTAGAATGGATGCCTCTAGGTGGCTCTTGGAGTGTGATCTCCAGCAGTGATAAGCTTTGCGATTATCAGATTAGTTCTTGAACTGCCCGATTGGCTTTTCGTAACGGTGGAGAGCTGCCGATTTTTAGCGAGAAAATTACAAATTGCAGTCTGAGTGTTGGTTTTCGATGACTCTTGCAGGCCTGCAGCCAGCTCCAAGTGGCAACGCCTCAAACAGGCAGTTCCGGGCAAAGCCTCGATCACCAAACTGGTTCCCCAGATTCTCAAGGAACCTGACGGAGGACACAGACAGCAGATGCTTGAGACATGTTGTAAAATCTCAGCCTATGTAGCTCTGCGAGTTGTGCCCCTGTCCAGGACTAAATGTTGCAGCTAGACGGACGATTTTCGGTCATGCACGGAACATCCTGCAACTTGGCCGACACCTTGCTGGCAAAAAGCCTTGAACAGATGAATCCGTGCGCAGGCAAAGCCGGTCTCCAGTCGATCGACAGGAGAAGATGCTGATGATTCGGGCAGTCGTAAGAGGTGGCCCACCATCATGATCAGAGATGCAACTTCAGTCCATGGTGTGGAGGCGCGAAGAACCATAACCAGCAAGAGGGCTTCGTGCCTCTCGTCCGAATGACTTCGGCCGCTTGTAACTGCATATCTGGCAACGCTAGGCTTAGAAATGTGTTTAGAGATCGCAGATGAGGACGGCCCTGCATCAGAACGCTGAACAGAAGAAGCAAGAACGGCTTCGTCAAGAAGAAGAAGAAGAAGCCGAGCAAGGCGTCGCGTCCCTTGAACTCGACCGGGGCCCAGCCGATTGATTGCGTGATGGTGACGTGATGGTGACGTGATGTGACGTGGCGGTGGCAGTGGTGGCAGTGGCGGTGGTGGAGCAGCAGCAGCAGCAGCAGCGGCGGCGGCAGCAGCAGCAGCAGCAGCAGCGGAAATCATGTATCCCACAGGGTTGTCAGGCAGGAAGTGGCATTGACTGTTGCAGTTGGTTGTAATGATCATGCTGGGGAAGAAGGGTCACAATTGCCATGAGAGGAGCATGGCCATCACATCAAGAAGGGCAAAATCGTAGCACTGCAAGTGGTGGTGCTCACACACATTCACCATCAGAATGTGAAAGGAGTAGTGAAGATGTTAGCCCTTTTTCTGGCAATGTCAAGGACATGTCCTTGCAGCCCTGTGCCTTGACTCCGTCAGACCTACTCGAGGAGGCGATTCAACAGGCCATGCGAAACAGAAAGTGAAAAAGAACATTGCAAGGATAGTTCATGATTCATGCCGTGCCTCTCATGGCCAAGCAGGCAGAAAAGCTGAAAGAAATAGCAGGGGATGCTGAGGCCTGGTCTTTACCGTGCAAAGCTAGGGGAAGTCTGGGGTATTGCAGCTGTGCTTGAGGCCGATGAGTTTCTTCAGGATATGAACGAAGCAGTCGACAGCTGCGTCCGTCCGGACCTTTGTAGAACCCATGTGATCGTGGTTGTTATGCAGCTTTCTTAGCAATGCAAAAGAGAAATATATTGGGGCCGAGCATGCATGTGAAGCTGTTGGGGGGTACTGGCACCAGCAGAGTGGTTTTAGTCTGGCACGGGTGGCTGCCGTGCAAAAGATTGCTGACAAACAGCAGATTCGAGTACAGATGGAGGCAGGGCCTCGTCCATCTCCTCCCATGCACCTGATCATCTCGCCTCATGCGTAGATTTCAGCACATCCTGTCTACAGACATGGGAAAGCCAGCGCTGATACCGATCGATGTTTTTATAGGAAATGCCACTCGTCACCCCAACTTGCAGAAATCCGACGCTGATACCTCCAAATCATTGGCGGAGCTAGAATCTAACTTTTGGGTGGGGAGGAGCGTGAACATGTGACAGAGAGGGCACTCTTGCGCTCTAATCATGCTTTCGTTATTGAGGGGCAAGGTGCAGTGGCCTTTGTGCGGGCACCAAGCCTTTCTTCGATTCCCTCGGCGAGCTACGCTGACTGACTGGCGAGCGTAGAGCCTAACGCGAATAATTCTGGGCAGCTCGAATCGGTAAAGCCTCGGCAATGTTTGGGGTTGTCGGGGCATGCCCAGCGATATAGATCTAAAAATATGTATACATATACATATACATATATATATATACATAGAAGAGTGCGCATATATATATATATACACATACACATATTTCAGCTGCCGAGGCATGTTGGCTGACTTGAAGGCTGCACTGGAGGTCGATTCAAAGATTCTCAGGCGGCTTGATAGCAGCCATGATTCTTGAACCAGTTGCTGCGCCACATCTTGTGCTCCGCAGGTTGAGAGAAGTTCATGAGTGCTGACTGCTGATTGGATGCAATGTTGCAGGGATGAAGTCGGAGCTATGGACAGAAGCACAGCTCGCGTCAAGGCCTTGCTCCAAGATCTTCAATGTGACTCCGACTGGTTACAGCAGCAGGTTGTGCAGTGGACACTGCGTGATATCAAAGTTGCACATGACGTCCAGAAGCCATTTGCATCGAAGGTGATGTGGATTCCATTCGGGATGCTTTGCGCCAGCAGGACAGCAGAGTAGCCACATTGAGATTTTCCTCCAATCCGTCGCGAGCACCAGACAGATTTTTGCAAAGATGTAGTTGTCAGCCAAGTCCGATAGCTTCGGTATGCTTGGGTAAACGCACCATCTCAAGGCAGGCAGCCGCTCGCAATCAGCAGAAAAGAAGAAGCAAGTCGAGGAGGCAAAGCGCATTGCCTTCACCTTCTGTGATGTCTCCTGGCCTGACATGGCTGCACATCTCAGTCGTCGGGCATGGGAAATCTTGTGCCAAAGCCTAGGGTACAGAGAAGCTCTTGCAGTACACTGACGCAAATCTGGATGAGACGCGTGGACATTTTATGATATTTCCACAGCAACCGGCAGGAAAGGTCTCCTTGCGGGCTGCTTGCCGAGGATCTTCATGAAGCGTCTTCTGTCTTTTCCAGAAGAAGCTGAAAACAATGAGGTGCCGTGGCTTTATCTGAGTTTTCCACCTGTCGGGCAGCTCTGGCATTCGAAAGAGTGCAGAAGTTTAGCTCTAATAAGCTCTTGCAGGATGATGCAGCAGCGGCCCGGCCATCCCGTCAGACAAGCATCGCGGGCGCGGCGAATTTATACGAGGTGTTCGCTGCAGCTCAAGACACAGTGGGAGAGTGCAAGGCTGGGCAGGCTGGGTATGAGGGACCGCAAGCAGAGCAAGCAGAGCAAGCAAAGCAAGCAGAGCAAGCAGAGCTGGAGCGCTTGGAGCACGGAGACGATCCGGACGCTGGCGCATCATTCGTAGCCGAGCAGGGACATGAGGGACGAAGCTCAATCTATGGCGATGCCAGTGGTGAGGAGGAGGAAGGGATGGAGATGGCACAGCAGTTGAAAGGGATGTCAACGCAGGAAGAATCTGGGTCGGAGACCGTTCGAAGTTCGCGCAGGATCGAGCAAATCGTCTTTCACCTAGATGGAGATGAGGCGCAGCAAGATGAGTCACAAGGCGATGCATCAGAGGGTAACCCAAGCACCACGACGTCACAGGAGCGCTCACATAGCCGACATAGCCCGGCCACAAGAGCCAGGCCTGAAGGGTCGATGAAGTCGATAGGAGAGCCAGGCCTCTTCTGCCCTTCAGAAAGTGAAGAAGAAGCAGAAGAAGACGTGGTGGACGAGCAAAGCGCGCAGGCCGACCCAGCTGAGCCCTCTGAGCCCGAGCCAAGTCAGGAGTCTGGCTCTGACGCAGGGGCTGAGCTGTCCCAGCCGCCTGAGCTCGCTGAGCGATCTGAGCTATCGCCAGATGGGGTGTCCGTCAAGGCCCCGAAGCAGCGACGGAAGTCCAAATCCAACCCCAAGACTAAGATTGTGGAGCCTGTGATCAAGACCAGAATCCAGCTGCTGCCGCCGGTGAGGCTTCCGGCCCTGACAAGTCGCAATCGCAAAAACACCGAAGCCTCGCTACACAAGTTCTTAGGGCGTTCTTAGGGTTGCTGGCCACACCTTGTTGCAAAGCACCTTGTTAGCAAAGCACTTTGTGCGCATTGCTTGGCCTAAGGGAGACCTGGACTGGACGATGGAGGACCTGAACACGGAAGAGCTCACGTTGCTTACTGCAGTCATTGATGAAGACGAGCCTCACAACAGTCTTCAAAGTGTGAGCCACGATCCAGCCAAAGAGCGCAGCGCGGCAAAGCTAGTTTCAGATCATTGCATGTTGGTTGGAATGGAGTGCACTTGTACAGCCTGGTACCAGAATCACGAGAGGTCTTTGGAAGTCCGTCTTTGGCTTGGATGACATGTCTCCCTCTGGCCGTCTCCCACAGATCCAGCAGCTCCCACAGCTTTTGCACAAGGGGCCCGAAAGCCCTCGAGCTGAACCTCTGCTTGCAAGAAGCTCTCTTGTGTTCATGAAAAGTACAAGATTCCTAGCTGGACTGGAGATCATTTTCCTGCAGGGTACATCTCCGAAGTGCAGGCAACTGGCTCAGATGGTGGTCACTTGGCAATCAAAGCCGAAGCTGGCTGTTAGAGCGTGGCATCGCAAAACATCAATTTGCTCCTTTCAATAATGTAGGACCACCCACGAACGCCGCGAACGCCAAAAACGCCGCGAACACCGCGAACACCGCGGTCGCCTTTGCGGAAGGCTCTCGGGCGACGCCATTTTTTACTGTCTCATTTGCCCTGCTCTGTGAAAGGTCAAGCCAGGAAAAAGCGAATCTCGCTCGGATTAAGGCCACTGGTGCGAGCTTTTGTGCATGTTCACCCCCGAAGAGCATGAGACGCAGGCTCCATCAAAGCAGCACTTTTGCCACGGTGACATCGCGCTCCGCAATTTGCTGAAGCAGTGCTAAGCGGATGGTGCTGGCAGCATCGGCCAGCTGTAAGGGCTTGCCGCAAGCGTTTTAATGCTAGCTGTGCGCGTGAGCCACTGTTGGTTTACCATGCCGAGTATTCGGCAGAATCCAGGGACGGCGGGTTCCATGGGTTCTCATTTAGTGGCAGGCGCGGCTACGACCGCTGCCTTGTCCCCTTGTCTGCGGGACCTCATGCAAGATGCTGCTAGATCATGACCATAATGACCGTAGTAGACATAAGAATGGCACTAAAAGAAACAATAGTAGCAACTGTAATAATAGTAATCCTAATATAAAGGCATCAATCAGAATGCACATGATAATGATAGTTGCGAACATGGGCGGTCCCGCAGCTTCAGGCTGTACAGGCTGTGGCTTTGGTCTCCTGAGGAGAACCTTTGCCCCGGACAGCTTTTTTGCACTGCGCCTCAAAGCTGCAAAGATGGCTATGCCTAGGGAAGAATGGGACATGATATACCATAGAGGAGTTATATAGGCAGTAGATTCCCTTATTCCCTAATGGTAGCCACCAGTAAGTATAGCTAGTAAGCAAGCAAGCAAGCAGGCAAGTAAGTAAGTACTCAGGCCATGGCTAGCGAACGTACAATGCTTTTTTTGCAGTGGTGCTGCTCGAACGCAGCATGGAGGTACCACTGACAGCTTCAAATTTCATTGTTGGGCACTGAGAACCATACCTTGCGGCTGCAGTTCTGCACGGGAACTTGGGCAAGATAAGGACCTAGCACGGTCTGGATTCTTCAATGGACTTCATTTTCACCGGGTCATTCCTGATTTCATGGCCCAGTGCCGTGCTCAGAGGTTGCTCTTGCTTGGAAGGTGCAAGCTTTCCAATCAGTGCCCTGTGTTTTCAACAGGTTTGGTTGCCCCTTCTCCAGGGACTGGATTTTGCTGGTTTGGCTTTGGATGATAGCTTCACCTGCACGAGGAGAATGTATTTCCTGAATTGACAGGACCCGCATTGTAAGAGCAGGGGCCTTAGAGGTTAAGACATTGACTGATTGGATGAGAGACAAAATGTCTATTGCCTTCAGGGGCTGGAAGTGGCGGCCCTCGCGACGGGACCCATGCTGTTCTTCTCACAAACTTTTCTCTTGGCTGCGCTGTGCCTGCATCCAGCTTTGCAGGAGCTTCCCAAATTTGCAGACTGGGGCAGCTGAACGGCGGTACAGTGGTGGCAACATTCAGGCTCCATTGGGACTATGCGCTGCTCAACACCTTTGCCGTTTCTCTCAACAGCCCCAGGACGAGCTGGTTTCCAAAGACAGCAATGGACCAGGAACCCTCTCCATGGCCAATTGCGGCCAGCCTAACACAGGCCAATCTGCTCGAGCAGCGCCTGCCCATGCAGTGCTTTCTCCCTTGGGAGGCGGCTCGCAGTTCTTCATCAACGTGGCAGATAACAGCTTCCTTGACTGGTTTTCTCCAGGTCCCAGCCAGACTTGAGTGGTCGGCGATGTTGAAGCAACCAGCACAGGCACATCAAAACATCCTGTGTTCGGCAAGATCACAAGTGGCTACGACGTGGTGGCAACTTACCGAGCCACCAGAAGCCTTTGACTGTGGTAAGGGACGCTCCCTCTCTCTCGTTGTCAGGTGCGTCTCTCCAAAGTGGACACGCAGGATGATGTTCCGACAAAGCTGCAGCCCCATTGACAAGCCACTTGCATTTGTCGTTCTCACATGGCAAGCAGCACATTAGCCTGCCCATGCCTGCCCGCCGCTCCAGCACACTTTCTCATTCCACAGGCCGATACAAATGCTCGCAGTGAGCATCGTTGGCAACATGCCTTAATGACAGAGTCGGTGCTGTCAGCGTCACTCCGCCGCTCACCAGCTGAACATCAGCTGAAATCAACTGAACGTCAGCTGAACACCAGCTGAGCATTAGCGGAACATCAGCGGAAAACGTCACAACTGCTTTACGAGAACCTTTCATGAGCGGCCTCGGCATGATGCGCTGCAACAGCATGTGGAATCACCTCGGGAACGTTTGTGCCAGGTTGCCAGCAGGGAAATCACCTGTCTGCCATCATGCCAGGCGAAGATTATGTGTTTAGGCTTCATATCAACGCAGTCGCATGACGCAAGCTAGTCGTAGGTTTCAGGAATTGGTTACTGTTGAACGAAACCAAGTGCCTGTTGATGCACGAAACTTAGCGTTGCAGCCTCTCATCACAATTCTCACCACAGCGCAACCTGACCTGGGAACTAAGTCACAAGCACTCTGGAGGATTTGCCAACGTTTGCAGCATCGCTTCTTCCTAGTGGCATGACCAGCAGCGAGGGCGCAGGGTTTGACGACACTGTGGCCTTGGTGCGTGCGTGCCACGTGGGCCACGAGGCTGCTGTGCGTTTGCTGCTGGCTGAAGGCCTTTCGCCATCGTCGGTGGATGCTGACGGTAACTCCGCGCTTTGCCTGGCTGCTGGTGCTGGTCACTCGGCCGTCGTACGGACTCTGCTGGTAGCACGGGCTTCCTTGGAAGAAACCGATGCGCAGGAGCAAACAGCACTTGCCCTAGCAAGCATGCGGGGACGAAAGGAAGTAATTCGAGAGCTGGTCGATGCCAGGGCCGATCTGGAAGCCGTGAGTTTGGCGGATGGGCTTCGTCCTCTCATGGCGGCAGCTCGAGGAAATCAATCTCAGGCAGTCGGCATGCTACTGTCTTCACGTGCAGCGGTAGATGCTGCGGATGAAGACGGTGCAACGGCTTTGATCTGGTCAGCGAGCTCTGGCAGTGCTCGGGTGCTGCCCCTGCTCCTCGCGGCCAAAGCGCACATAGAGAGTTGTGATGCCGAAGGCGCAACTGCGCTCGCCCTGACCTGAGCTTGGCAGATGAATCGAATGGGTCCCGTCCGATCTTGCTTGAGAGGTCTGGGCAGCCTCAGAAGGTCTCTGACTCGAATGTCCCTATGATGTTTGGGTAGGTTGACAGTTGAATGGCCCTGCGCTCGAGGTCAGGATGCAGTATTAGAGCTGCTGCTCCAGGCTCTTTGGTAGAAGGCAAATTGGCCCCACCATTGCTTCGCTGTTATCAGGCTCGGGCTCAGCCAGATGCCGCAGACAGCTCAGGGCAGTGGCCTCAGCTGCTAGAGGAGCTGCAACTCCAACATATGTGTCCAAACTCCTGAACTCAAAGGCGCACGCCACTCAGCTGGGCTGCAGGCGTGTGCCTACATCACCCCGGGTGCTTTCATGCGTTTGTGATACTTCATGGCCTCACCGCAGTTTTTCCTCAGGCCGCGGGCACGAGGTTTCTGCGAAGGCGGAGCAGGGATTTCTGTGGACTAGCCTCGTAGGACTTGGAGGATTTGCCAGGAGAGAGGGTGCATCTTCATGGCTGACCTTCTGGTACAGCTTGACAGGCGCTCCTGATTGCTGGAGCCAAGAACTCAGACAGCTGTAGACTGTAGATCCTTGAAGACTGCTGAAGCAGATGCGTGTCAAGCCTGACTTTGTGATCAAAGGCGGATGCAAGCAAGAAGGATGGCAGCGGCCTCTCACCACAGGAGTGGGCAGCAGCGGAGGGCTGCGAGGATGCATTCTTGAGGCCAGCACCGTGCAGCATGCCCATTCGCTTCAGAGTGTGGTGCTATCCAGGACCCTTGCGGCGCTGAACTAGGCTTGGGCAATCTGCTGGCAGTAGGAATGACGCGCAGGAAAAGTGTTGCGCTTGCAGCTTGCAGCTGGTGCTGTCTTGCTTCTTCTGACTTTCTGCTTTGCGAAAACTCACGACAAATTGGCTGATGCTGGTTATCGGCTTCGCCTGCGTGGCAAGCCCAAGTATTTCACTACCAGCCTACCAGCCCACCCAAAACATCAGCATCCCAAAGCTTTCACTCTTGCAGCGCAAGCCATCTTAGGAAGCCCATCTCGGTGCCCTGACACTGAAGAGCACACCCAGAAGCAGCAACAAGCTTCCGGATGCGATGGTGCCATGTCCGGCTTCGGGATTCCTGGATTGCTGGAGCAGTCTGGGCCTGAGCTGCAGAGCTGCAGCAGACTATTGTTATTACCATTATTACCATTATTTTTGTTATTATCCTTATTGTTCTTATTGTTATTATTTTTCGCCTGTTTTGTTTGCAGAGAAATCTGTGCAGGTGGAGATCAAGCTGGCTTGATCCGGCCCTTGACTACATCGAAGGCAGTCCGCAGAAACCTTTCTGAACGCTTGTCGCCCGCCACAACACTGCAGGCGGCAAGCCGAAAACGGATTCTCACCTCAATGAGGCCGGTGCTCAGAAATCAACCTGGCTGCTGGTGCTTGTTGCCCTGGATATGCAACAGGCAAGCAATGAGTACTTCGAGGAAGAGATCAAGGTCCACCTTGGGTCCACGATCTATTGCGGCGTGAAAAGTTCCCGTTTGGACATGAGGCTTCAACAAGAAACTTTGATCCAAGCTGTTTGCTTGGCTCGGGGACTTTTGGCAGTGCTGGGCTCTCACGCTCTCTCTTTTCACAGTCGGTGTCCGAAGCGGATGGCCCATAAGGTTTACCGCGGTACGATGAGGGATGGGACTGAGGTTGCAATCAAGGCCAGGTGGATTTGCTTTCATGTTGCACATTGCCTATCAGCCTATCAGGTCCTGCAGGTACCAGAGGAAGCAGGCTTTGAGGAAGAGATCAAGGCAAGCTGCTGCTCCTTTTCCGTGAAGGCCAAGCATAACAATGCAGGTTCTGTCGAGGTTTCGGCATCCCAACCTGGTCATCCTCATGGGCTTTGCCAGACATGCAGCCACGTCGCCAGCGGCCTGTTTGTCGGCCACCCTGCTTGGGACGTACCAACAAACGGATCCTTCTTTACGTTGAGATTCAGGATGCTGTTATAAAGTCGCCTGATTTGCAGTGTAGCTGATGGCTCAAGAACAGCGATCTAGGCTGGCATCGCCCCTTAGCATGCCCGAAATGGGTGCTGCCGCATCACCAGAGACGACACCTGCAGCCTCGTCCAACTCACAACGCGAGAGGTCCGATGTAGCCGATCTTCAGAAGCAGCTGCTGCAAGAGCGAGTCAATGGACTTCCGAGAAACAATTCCTGGAGCGGTGCCGGGGCAGCAGAAGCAAAACCATGTGACTCTTTGAGGTTATTCCATGTGAGCCGTGTGCCAACTACATTGGCAGCTGTAGAGCTAGGTAGCGCTGCAGATGGTCATATGGGGAAGGAGATGACAGCCAGCTGTAGCAAAGAACAGTAGTAGGTTATCTAAGTTTAAGAGCAATGCAGGCTATGGTTTCTATTGAGTAGGGACGTGGTAGGGACAGTCTGTTGGTACGATAGGGGGGCGGTCAAATGACACGATAGGGGCGGCTGATGGTACA